TTTCTTTCTTTCTTTTCTTTCTTTCTTTCCTTTCTTTTCTTTCTTTCTTTCTTTCTTTCTTTCTTTCTTTCTTTCTTTCTTTCTTTCTTTCTTCCTTCCTTCCTTCCTTCCTTCCTTCCTTCCTTCCTTCCTTTCTTTCTCTTTCTTTCTTCTTTTTGCTTTCTCTCTCTCTCTCTCCTTTTTTCTCCTGCTGCTGCCTCTCTTTCTTTCTTTCTTTGAGACAGGGCCTTTCTCTGTTGCCCAGGATGGAGTACAGTGGCATGACCATAGCTCACCAAAGCCTGGAACTCTTGGGCTCAAGTGGTCCTCCCACCTCAACTTCCCAGGGAGCTGGAGCCATAGGTGTGTACCTCCAGGCCCAGCCAATTTTCTAAAAAATGTCTTTGTAGAGATAGGGTTTCCCTATGTTGTCCACGCTGGTCTCAGATTCCTGACTTAAAGCAATCCTCCCACCTCAGCCTTCCAAAGTATTGGGATTACAGGTGTGAGCCCAGCCTCAAAATATTTTTATTTAAATGAAAGTTTATATCACTTCCACAAATGAAAACCTGTATTACTTGCCAAAAATGTAGAGTAACTGTTAAAATAAGTTAATGAAAACAAAAGAATGTTATTAAGACGTAAAAATTAACAATGGATTATAAGATATAATGAATCTAGTTATGAAAATAGGTTTCTCAGTGAAAGTATTGAAGCCATTTATGATCAACCGTTAACTTGTTGCTAAATTGGAGGTTGTACATCAATGAAAACATTCTTAAAACTTATTTAAAAGGTAACAGGTATAGTGGGCTTACCATGTACCAGGTACAGATCTAAGAGCTTTAACATATATTTAATCCCAATAAAGACTTCATGAGGTATTTACTGGCATCCTCCATATTTTACAGATGAGGAAACTGAGACTTATAGAGGTTCAGCAACTTGCCAGAGGTCACAGAGCTAGTCAGAAGCAGAGCAGGGCTTTGAAGCCAGGCATGTCCAGGGTCTAGCACCTGCAGCTGCTTAACCAGCACTGAGAAATCCAAGTCACATGTGTATTTAGTTGAACAAGGCAAAGATAAATTGTCTGCCTTTTCTAAGCATACTTATGTTCATGAATACAGCCTTTTTGCACTAATTGATTGTCAACTTTTGAAGAGGATAGTTTGACATATTACTGATAGAATACAATGATGTGCCTAGGAATTCAGGGAATAAGGATCTGAGTTATAGATGAACACCACCTGCTTTAACCTTACTTCTGAGCAATTATGGCTGAGGACCAGGCTCCTGGATCCTGTACTCATTATGCACAACCCTATAATTCAAGTGCTTTTATGATTTGCATTACCAATGCCTGAGAGAGGCACATCCAGGCAATAATATATGGGAAATCACAGGTTTCATGTGCTAGTTTTATATAAATAAATACACACACACACACACACATATATATATATTCTCTAGAGGGACAGAACTAATGGAATAGATGTGTATATAAAGGGGAGTTTATTAAGGAGTATTGACTCACACTATCACAAGGTGAGGCCCCACAATAGGCCGTCTGCAAGCTGAGGAGCAAGGAAAGTCCGAATCCCAAAGCTGAAGAACTTGGAGTTCAATGTTCAAGGGCAGGAAGCATCCAGCATGGGAAAAAGATGTAGGCCAGAGGACTAAATGGGTCTAATCTTTCTATGTTCTTCTGCCTGCTTTTATTCTGGCCTCGCTGGCAGCTGATTAGATTGTACCCACCCATACTGCGGGTGGGTCTGCCTTTCCCAGTCCACTGACTCAAATGTTAATCTCCTTTGACAACACTCTCACAGACACACCCAAGAACAATACTTTGCATCCTTCAATCCAATCAAGTTGACACTCAATACTAACCATCACAAGTCGACCCCTTGTCAACTTGAACCCATACACATCTCCCGAAATCATACATAATCTTCAAATAAAGACAATAATAAGGTCATAATTATGCCCAACATAATACAACTATCCTTCGTACAACCAGAAACTCACAAATCCCCAACTCAAATACTATTACATAAAGTTAACAATACTTAAATGCTGAAATGAAGTCAATAAATCTTATGTCACATGATAAAGGAAAAAAGAAATAAAATAAAGATATTTTCATAGTACAAGTATATACATGCACAAAAATGTTCTTAACAAAACAGGGAGGAAATGCTCATGACAATTAACATTGTCTGCACCTGGTCATGTGGTCATAGCTGGTATTGATGACTACCTTCTACTATCCATTCTGTATTCCCTTTGCTTTCAGCAAGAACCTCAGCAGGTCATGGGTTTTTTCCTAGTGGAGTGATCCAAACCTTCATTCCTAAGAGGTCTGGGCCATTTGTAGTCCTGTCTGGATTGGGCTATTGTAGTTTCCCATTGACCTTAATCAAGGGTATGGTAATACTAAGATACACCCTAAAGGATTTTCTGTATTCCATGCATACTCTTCCTTACTTCCATTGTGGAGTAGTAGATCAACTTCATCTTGATAGTCTGGGTCAATCACCCCAGGCAACACTGTAACTCCCTTCTTAGCCTATTGACTTAAAGGTAGGAGGAGCCCAAAGTGTGCAAGCGACAATCTGAACTTCCAGTGTAATGGAATTGTGTTGTGTCTCCTGGTCGCAGTGTTCCTCCCTTTGGGACTAAGATCTCAGAACGTAATGTTGCGGGAACAGGAAGCAAACATTTTGCTAGTGGGTCACTAAGGGTGATGGTGAGTGGTGCCACTTCCATTTTCCACCTCTTGATTCCTGGACCTGTGAATCCTGGCTATGGGAGAAGCAGTACCATATATTGGATGCTGATTCAGAGCATACACAGGCTTCTGGAGAACTTTGCCCCAGCCCTGCAAAGTATTGTCACCTAGTTGGCATTGTAATTGTGACTTCAAAAGGCCATTCCACTGTTCTATGAATCCAGCTGCTTCAGGATGATGGGGGACATGGTAAGATCGGTACATTCCACGAACACGAGTTCACTGCCACACTTCTTTAGCTGTAAAATGAGTGCCTTGGTCAGAGGCAATGCTATATGGAATATCATGACTGTGGATAAGGCATTCCGTGAGTCCACAGATGGTAGTCTTGGCAATATATTCTAATCCATACATTTACATATATAATTACTAAAATTTAAAAATGTTTGTCCTTGTACCCCCTAAAATTCACGCTTTTGGAATTATCAATCAAGTTCAATCCCACATTTTAAAGACAAGAAAAACAATATTTATGACTACACAGAAGCTGTGGACTGGAACACTGGTCTCTGTTCCTACACCACTGCCCTCTCCTCATATTGAGGAATTCTTGTGTCCTTTAATACTAACCCAGCTGGCCATACTTCATAATGAATCACAGTATGTTTTATTGGTAAAGCGGCTGGCATCTTTACGCTAGGTAATTTACATGATGGAGATGAATTGCAATCCTCAAATTTAGGTGTGCAAGACCTATGGAATTTTGTTAATCAAATGAAATTTCCACCCTTGGTTTTTTTTTGTTGTTGTTGGCCTGCCTTCCTTTCTCTCTCTCTCTCTCTCTTCCTTCTTTCCTTCCTTCCTTCCTTCCTTCCTTCCTTCCTTCCTTCCTTCCTTCCTTCCTTCCTTCCTTCCTTCCCTCCTTCCTTCTTTCCTTCCTCTCTCTCTCTTTCTTTCTTTTTGTTTTTGACAGGGTCTCACTCTGTTGCCTAGGCTGGAGTGCAATGGCACAATCATGGCTCACTGCAACCTCTGCCTCTCTGGTTCAAGCGATTTTTGTGCCTCAGCCACCCAAGTAGCTGGGATTACAGGCATGCACCACCATGCTTGGCTAATTTTTGTATTTTTAGTAGAGACGGGCTTTTGTCATGTTGTTATCCTGGTGGCAACGTTCCTCCCTCTGGGACTGAGATCTCTAGGCCAGCAGAACGTAATGTCACCAGAGATGGCCAGGCTGGTCTCGAACTCCTGACTTCAAGTGATCCACCCTTCTTTTCATCCCAAAGTGCTGGGATTACAGGCATGAGCCACTGTGCTCAGCCTAAAATTTCCACCCTTAAGCTTGCATCCCACCAGCTTGGCAGGAAATCTAACTGCAGTCATACTTAGAGCTTCCCCCCTCCTCAACCCCAGATTTGTGAGTCCAGGAGTCACAGGCAGAAAAGGCTTAGTCCCAGCCCACAGTGGTTACAGCCTCTGCCAGCCCATTGGTTCTTTCTCTCCCATGCTCTGCTGCTTCTGGGCTGTCCGGGTGTCTGGGACTGGTGCAGTGGGAAGGCCTCTGCCTGAGCTATAATCACACTCCAGCTCCCAGGAGTCATTCCTTTGGAGAGTTGTCCGTATTTGGCGCAGACTGCGTGCATCTGCTTTTACATTTTTCATGGGTGTGGGCTCTACAAAAGACAGAATCTTGGATACCAGGGTACTTCTGCTTTTTGCAAAGCCTTGATTCTCAGGGCAAGAAGTCATAAAACCTGGCTCCCTGCTTAAAATGAGGGAAAGGGAGAATATAGATGCTGTGGCCTAAGTGTCCTTCAATATTCATGTGTTGAAACTTAATCCTCATTGGGGTGGTAGTAAGTGTTGGGGACTTTTGGGAAGTGATTTACTTGTGAGGGCTCTGCCCTTTTTGCACTCTTCTGCTCTTTCACCACGTAAGGACACAGTGTTGGCCCTCTCTGGAGGATGTAGCAACAAGGTGCCATCTTTGAAGCAGAGAGCAGACCTTTTCAGACATCACATCTGCTGAAGCCTTGATCTTGGACTTCCCAGCCACCAGGACTGTGGGAAAACACGTTTCTCTTCATTATAAATTACCCTAAGGTATTTCATCATAGCAGCATAAACAGGCTAATACAATAGGGAAAAGAGAGAGTTTAGTAAATTGCCCTTGCACTCACAAAGTAGTTTAACTTTAAAAAATACATAATAATTTAAAATGGTAAACTTTGCAGAACTGGTCCTCAGTGATGTCACAAATGGCTGTGAGCATGTTCTGTGAACTGTTCTTACACAAAACAAGCCTGTCTTTGACACCTTTCTTCCCCCAAACCAGCTGGTAACACAACCCTCGGTGAAAAAGTATTGTACTTTTTAAGGGGTAAATTCTTCGGGTATAAGATCATTGTTTCATGCATAGAACTTGCTTAGCCGTGACTGAAATCCTATACTTAGCAATTTCCTTTTAAACTGGTGTGCTCACCTCCTTCCCACTGGGTTTAAGGCTAGTACAGACACTTGGGCACCTTGTGCCTGGCTCCATTGGTGTCGCCTGTGAAGGCTGGTGAGGGCTGATGGGCGCCCTGGCCTGGCTGGGTTCTCTTTGCTGATTAATAGCTGGCTGTGTGGAAGATGGCCTGAGTTCACAGAAGCTGGCCTAGCCCGTGCTCAGGTGTGGTCCAAGGATGTTGAGGCTGTTTCCTGCCGTGGGGAAGGTGCAGGGCTGAGCAGAAGCTGGCCCTGAAGGTAGAAGAGGCTGCATCCTTCATTCCATGCCCTCTGCTTGCAGTCATTTTCCTTTTTTTGCCCATGTCCAAGTCCCTCTTGGACAGAAAAGTGCCTGGGGCCATTCTGTTGGATTCCAGTGACTGACAGGCCAGCAACAACTCAGAGCCTCCCTTCCCTCCAGTGCCCTCGAGGGTCAGGCTGCCATCCTGTATGTCCTTTCCCTGGACAATCAGGCCACCCGCTCTGCCCCTGACTTCCAGAGTCATTCCTGGGAATCCACCCACCCCACAGAAGGGAAGCTACTCTTAGGAAGTCCAAGATGACTTTCTGTCATTTTATTTCCTGCAAAAGTAGAAAAACCATACAGATTTGATCTCTGTGGGCACACTATTAAATGTTTAAAAAGTCAGTCACACAAACGAATGAAAACATCAATGTTTATGCATAGCCCACAGCAATTCATCATGATGTAAAGGAGCAGGACTGGATTCCGGGTCAGGAGGGCTGGGTTCGCCAGTCCACCGCGTTATCTGCTGCGTGAGAAGTCTTGGTTAGGAAATCACTGAACCTCACTGGGCCTCAGTCTTTTCATCTGTTAAGTGGTGCATGGTGGGGAGGGAAGGAAAGGAGAATACCTACCTCAGAGGTAAGTATTTTATTGAACAATAAAATTAAATCAACCAAAATCAGTAGCTGTTTGTATATCTTTGACAGTTTAATGTAGCCCCAGAATTTAACCTGTATCGTAGAAGGGAAGGGAAAGGGAGTCCCCAGAAAGAATCTGAAAATGTCTAGAATGAGCATTTCCTCAGGTTCAAGCATTACATTCTAACCTATTCTGAACTTGCTTGGTAATTTTGAGTTCTGCAGAGGTAACTGACCCTCTCTCCTTCTTTTCAAGTCTTGCCTCTTATTCCCACCCTCCCCTCCTCAGCCATCTGTCCTTTTGTTCATCCTCAGAGTCCAGAGGCGCCATCTGGTTCTTTCCTGGATGGCCTAGGGGTGTCAGATGCTGGGAAGAGACAGAAGGGTCCTGAACTACGGTGTCTCCTCAGGGGGCAGAATCCACAAAATCATCAGCCTTTCACCACCTGGGTGAACAATGCTGTACGTTTTTCCCTTAGGTTCCTGTGTCAAAACAACTGCCCGACTCAGGTGAGAAACTGGGGAGGAGGAAAGGTGCATTTTGTGGCATGAACATTCCGTCCACAACTGCAGTCAAGTTGGGGCTGAGGTGGGGGCTGTTACACTTAGGAGAGGAGCGTCTCATTAGGCATATGGGGGCTTGGTTTTAGGATCAACTACTGCAATGATTCCATTGCTTTGGAAAGGGTCACTCTGAAATTTAGGTGTTAAAGTCAGATGTGCAAATAAGTTTAGAATATCCATCACCAACCAAATAGGAAAATCCTTTTACTCTCTCGGCCAATGGTCTCCGAGCTCTACCTGATCATTCATTCATTTGTTTATAAGTGCCTGCCAGTGTAGGCCCCTGCCCAGGAGACTGCATTCTTTGGATCAGGGCCTGAATATCCATGAGCCCAGCCAGATGTTGGATTCCTTACAGCTGCTGGTCACCAGCTTATTTGGAAGCCTGGTTAAAAGCACCACATTTTCAAAGCGTTTCCCCGCTCTGAGATAATTGTCTGCCTATCATGTGATGAAAACCCAAACCTATTTCTTTTTTTTTTTTAAATTATTATACTTTAAGTTCTAGGGTACATGTGCACAACGTGCAGGTTTGTACATATGTATACATGTGCCATGTTGGTGTGCTGCACCCATTAACTTGTCATTTACATAGCTGTACTCCTAATGCTATCCCCCCCTCCCACTCCCACAATGCCCGGTGTGATGTTCCCTTCGTGTCCAAGGATCTCATTGTTCAATTCCACTGTGAGTGAGAACATGCAGTGTTTTTTCTGTTCTTGCAATAGTTGCTGAGAATGATGGTTCAGTGGATATGTCCTAAAGGACATGAATCACCTTTTATGCTGCATAGTATCATGGCGTAATGTCCAATTTCTAATCATCTGTCCTGATGGACATTGGGTGATTCCAAGTCTTGCTATTGGAATAGTCTGCAATAAACATCCGGTGCATGTGCTTATAGCACGTGATTATAATCCTTGCGTATATACCATAATGGATGCGGTCAAATGGTATTCTAGTCTAGATCCTTGAGGAATCACCACACTGTTTTCCACAATGGTTGAACTAGTTACAGTCACCAACAGTGTAAAAGTGTCCTGTTTCCACATCCTCCAGCACTGTGTTTCTGATTTTAATGATTGCATTTAATGTGTGAGATGTATCTCATTTGTTTATTGCATTTATCTGATGGCCAGTGATGATGAGCATTTTTTCATGTGTCTGTTGGCTGTATGAATGTCTTCTTCTGAGAAGTGTCTGTTCATATCCTTTGCCCACTTTTTGATGGGGTTGTTTGTTTTTTTCTTGTAAATTTGACCCAAACCTGTTTCGTTTTGTGTTAGTAAGAACTAGCTACTGGTAAGCACTTATTTAGTTGTATAACTGCTTTTTAATTTTGCATTTAAATTCTGAGAGTCCCTTAGATTCCATCATTTGGAAACCTGACTCTAAAAATACCAAATTATAGAGAAATTATAGCACAATAAGTATTTTAATCACTTTTTATAGCTTGCAATCATGTTGACAACTACAAATATTACTTGAGTATTATTTTAAAAAACATTCTGTAATGAGTGCTTTTGTTTTTCCATGTTCTTGAAACATGATGAATTTTGCTCTGCATGCTGCTTCATGATAAAGGAATATGAGAAGAGTGGTATCTTCTAGCCAACAACCTTTCCTTTCTTTATTTAAAAAGCCCTCTTGATGGGTTTGTACCTTCTCGAAGTAACTTTCAGCAGTGTTCATAATGTAATTCTATAGGCACCTTACAGGTGTCTCCACAGCCCTCCCCCATCCATCTCTGTCACAATAAGAAATGCATTGGGGGGAAAAATGGCCATTTACCTGTGGGATTATAACCCAAACGATCCTCCTTTCCCTAACTCTCCAGTATGTTTCTTCCTTCCATTAATTTATCTTCTCTACACCTTAATAAAAACAGATTTAGATGTTCAATGAGAATGCTTAAATATTCTGGAGGGCAACTTTTCACCAGAATTTCCAAGGTTGTAAAAAAACACTGTATTTTTAGTTTGCTAGTTTGCAGATCAGTGAAATTATCTGCCATTGATGACATCAGACTTTTGGGAGGTCTGTGGCCACAGTCTAATTGGAAAGTTACAGTTAGAATCTGATGAAATCACAGTGAGTGTTGCAAGAGACAGCCTTGCAGAAATTTGAAGATTATCCTGAAACTGCTTAGTGTAGTCTTTTAAATAAGTATTCCCATGTACTGTTCATGAATTATAACTAGCATGGGTGTTTTGTCATACCGTAAGCATTGTCAATGTCTTCTGTACATATGCCTTTGCTTTATAATTCCTCCATGTAACTGAATGCCAGCCACGAACATGGTCATCCTTAATCACCTTATAGCTCTGCCAAAGACTTAATAACGAAGGAATAGATAGGATCTTTTTGAGTCCTCTCTGTAATCCCACATAAGTCATGTTGATTGTGGGATATTGAGAGTTCTTAATTGCTTATCTCAATTCCCACTGGCTTCTATGTTTGTTGCATTTATTTATTCATTCTATCTTTATTGAACAATATCTATATGCCAGACACTGATCTATGCTCTGAAGACAGGCAGAAGTGTCAGACAACAGTTTACCCAATGTTTTCCATCCAAATCCAATTAACCAATATTCTCAATTTGGAACAACTCAAGACGAGCCATATATCATTGAGGTAGAGCTGGCAAGCAGTCTTGTGAGCTTGTTACTCTAAAAGTTAACTTCATTTAATTGCGGGAGATAACTCTCAGAAATTTATTTAAAAAGGAAAAAAATTATGTTTCTCTCAGCTGAGGATGAAATAACATGTTGTGAAAAGCTTTGCAAACTCTAAGATGCTGCAGAAAGGTATAAAACTTTTTGTTGTTGTTCATCAACATCAAGATGCTCTGATTTGTGCTTTCTTCTGACTTTGATTTGATTTTTTTCAGAGATCAATATAGGGGACACAATTTTGGAAAGTGACATATGGGTGAAAGTGAATCTGCACGAACAGAACCTGATCATGCTGGAACCTTCTACCTTGCCTTCCCTTCTTGGACAATTTTGGTCTCATTCTCATTTACTTTCCTCAAAGAGACTATTTAAGGGGAAACTATAACTACTTGCCTCAAACCATCACTGTGAAATAGACACTGGCAATTCTATAGTGTTTGGTTCCAATAAGACAAAAATAAACACAAATTACATCCATTTAACTTTTATTTTAAATCATCTGCTGGGATCCTGGTCTTCTTCTAGCACCATAATTATGTATCAGTTAACAATCCAAGTTAGGAAGATTATAGGTATAATTTAAAGCAATAAAATGACTGGGGAACATTTTCTATAATTGTCAATTGAAATGAAATCTTTAGAAACGGCTGAATGACTTTTGGCAAAGTTAAGCCTTGGCCAAACCAACTGAAGATGACTGGTGATGTATCCAGCTCTCCAGATCAAGTGTCTGTTACATTCTGGGCTCTGACTGCTGATTGCTAATGTGTCAATGATCTATCTGTTTAGCTACTCTAGTTTAGCTTACCTATCTACCTTAGTTTCCGGTGTTCCAAGATATTGGTGGGTATTGTCTGTTTCATTTAGGATACAGGTTTGGCTACAAGTGACAGAGACCCAAAATCAAATGGCCTTAAATAAAGATGGTTTATTTTTCTTTACTATCAAAGTTCAAGATGGTTTAAGAACTCTGTTTTACTAAGTCATCAGGGACTTTTGCTTCCTCCTCATAGTCCGAGATAACTTACCTCCAGCTCTAGATTCCACCAGCACAGAGGAAGAAAGTGAGGGCCTGCCCTATCCCTTCAAAAGCACATCCTGAAAGTTACACACATCGCTACTGCTTATATCCCATCAGCTGTAAGTAGATCACATTGTCACACCCAAATGCAAGGGAGCTAAAAATTATTGTCTCTATTTTGGTTGGCTGTGTGCTCAAATAAATGAACAGATTTTCTATTACTGCAGAAGGAGGGGAGAATAGATATTAGGAACCGACTAGCGGTTTTTGGCTAAATATTGTATTAAACACCCGCTCATCCTCAAGATCAATGCTATATACTAGTGGTTTTCAAAGTGTGGTCTCTGGGCTAGAAGCATCAGAATCACCTGAGAACTTGATAAAAATTCAGATTCTTCCAACCTCCCCACCCTGCTGAATCAGCTCCTGAATCAAAAACTTGAATTGGTCAGGCATGGGGGCTTATGCCTATAATCTAAAACTTTGGGAGGCCGAGGCAGGAGGATCACTTGAGCCTAGGAAAAGACCAGCCTGGGCAACATAGCGAGTCTCCCATTTCTACAAAAAATTTTAAAAATTAGCTAGGCATGGCCGTATGTGCCTATAGTGCCAGCTACTTGGGAAGCTGAGGCAGGAGGATTGCTTGAGCCCAGGAGTTGGATGCTGCAATGAGCTATGATTGCACCACTGCACTCCAGCCTGGCTGACAGAGTGAGACCCTGTCTCTTAAAAACAAACAAACAAAAGAAGAAACTCTGGAAGTGGAACCTAGCAAGGTGAGATTTCACAAGCCCTCCAGGTGCTTCTGACGCCTGCTAAAGTTTGAGAACCACTGGTCTAGTAGGGAATGCTTTTCTAAACAGCCAGATGGGAGGCTGGGCATTAGAGGAGGAAATGAGTCAGGAAGGCCCAGAAGCAGTCAGCTCCTCACCCTTGACTGCTGTGGTCCTTTGTAAAGTCACTCCCTGTAAATTCCTCTTCCAGAGGCTCTGCTGGGTGGCCCAGCAGCCATGGCCATGTTGTTTGGTGGGAAGATTGTGGGATTATGAGCGGCCTTTCCCAGCAGCATACTTCATCCTTTTGTGACCTATTTTTTTCTGTTATATAAAATGAATTGGAGGTAGGGAGAGAGAGCAAATGACCTTGATGATCTCCTCCAGCCCTGCCACCTGACAGTTCTGTGCCCTGCTGGCTCCCTAGAGTCATGGTTTTGTCCTTTCCCACCAGCGGTGGAGATGGTGGAGTTGGGAGCTTAAAAGAAAAGACCCCAGAGTCAAACAGAGTTTGGGTTTGAACCAAGGCTCACTTGCTGGATGCGTGACCTTTGGCAAGTTGCTTAATTTCTCTGGGTCTCAATTTCTTCACCTATAAAGTAAGGATAATAAAGTCATCCTCACTGGACAGTTTGGGGATTTAATGAGGTGTATGTTTGTGTGTAAAACACATAGCATAATGCCTGGCATGAAGTAAATGCTAAGTAAATGTAGCTATTGCCATGGTGTGCATTTTGTAGGTCATTGGGACACACATCATCTGGACAACTGTTTCTTTCCACATACCTATCTTTATTAATCCCTCACACAAAGACAGGCCACGTATTTGTTTTCTCTTTTGTGAGGTCTTACAAACGTCAGTCAAGAGAGACAAAGTTGATACATAATTTTTCTGGAAATCTCAAGCCATCCTGACATAGAAAAAGGCACAGCTCCATTCGTAATGCTGCCTCACTCACGGACATCTCCAGACTCAGACACATCTCACTTGAGCCTTCTGTGTAAGGGAAAGGCAGCTTTATTCCTATTTTCCAGGTAAGGAAACAAAAGCTCAGGAAGATTAGGTAGCTGAAACAGGATCACCCAACAACTTAATGGAGAGCTTGGACTCAGACACTCATGTCTGAGTTAGATGTCTCCACAGAAACCAAGGTTTAGCTATCTTGTAAAAAAAAATCTGTTCTTGGCTGGGTGCGGTGGCTCATGCCTGTAATCCCAGCACTTTGGGAGGCCGAGGCGGGCAGATCACCCGAGGTCAGGAGTTCGAGACCACCCTGGCCAACATGGTGAACCCCCGTCTCTACTAAAAATACAAAAAATTAGCTGGGCTTGGTGGTGGGCACCTGTAATTCTGGCTACTCAGGAGGCCGAGGCAGGAGAGTTGCTTGAACCCAGGAGGCAGAGGTTGCAGTGAGCCGAGATTGCGTCACGGCACTCCAACCTGAGCGACTGAGTGAAACTTCATCTCAGGAAAAAAAAAAAAGTTCTTTTCTGTTCCTCCCAATAGCCTATAAACTCCTTGCATCTCCCAGTCCTCACATTACCTTTGGATCTCCAGCACCTAGCCTGGCAACTGGCACAGAGTGATGCTAAATAAATGTTTGCTGAATGACAAATGAAGGAAAGAAATAAAGCCTATGGATTCTCTGCACTCTATGCATGACTTCTCTTTTGCAAGTGTTTGGAATCATGGCACAAATTTTATTGATGGAAAAGCTTCCTTTGCTGCTCCTGGGAACGTGGCTCAGCCTGCTCGTCACTGGTCCATTGCTTGCCAGCATGGAATGGTAGATGTGGCAAGGCAGGTATCTAATTCTCCACTGCCTTCCCTCCTCCTCCCTTCCTCAGAGACTCCCCAGGCCCAGCGGTTCCCTTATGGTCCTAGAGTTACTTTTATAGGTGCTCTGCAGAGCAGATGTCCCTGAGTGGGCATCCAGCTTCTCATACTATAATGCCTTTACCAAAACGACTAATTACACTGCTGACATCCCTCAACCCCTAATATGGGGGAAGGGAAAAGATGAATCAATGTAATGGGAGAATCTGCCTCTCAGACCTCACACTCTCCCTCTCCCCATTCACCGCCATAGATTACCCACCCCCACTCTTCACTGTCAACATTGGTGCCTGTCAGCTGGTGGTTAGACACTTGAACAGACTTTGCCAATTAGAGAAGTCACACCTCTTGGTTGGCAGGCGCACACTATTGTGCCTGGGCTCCCAACAGGGAGCCATATAGCTTTTGGGCAAAGGATGTGCCAGGAAGGAATAAGAGAGTGCCCCTGAGGGCAACTGGCGTCAGGTGGGAGGCCCCGTCTGAAAGCTGCTCTCAGGTAAAGACACACGATGAGCTGTCATTTTCTGTGGGTTTGATTTGGATCTATTGTTGCTCCACCCCAAATCTTCTTGATTTATTCAGGGGGAGGGTACACTGAGTGTGTCTTGGCAGCATTAAGACCCTTCTGTTGTTCTTTTGTTCCTTATTACTCCTCCCCTCCTCCTCCTCCCTTTTTGGTGAACTCTGAGTTTTGCTGTTTTATACTGGGAAACCGAACCGGGGAAGTAATAGTAGCAACTCCTTGACAGTTCCGAGGGGCTTAGCAAAGCCCTCTCACATCACGATATCATTTGATCTCCAGGACAATTCTGAGTGAAGTCACGATAATAGGTGGTGGTATTTTCATTTTAGGGATAAAGACGCTGAATTCCAGGAGGATTAAAGGACTGGTCTTCTACATGGTGGAGAAAAGAAAAAAAAAGGTGGATTGAGAATTTGACTGTTAATCCTGGTAGTCCACAGCCTAGCTGCATGTCTTGGATTACTCAATTACCTCTTTGTCGTTGACTTTCTCATCTGCAATTCCAGGGATCTTGTAGTCTTGTTGGACTTCAAGAGTCTTTACTTCCAAGTTCATTTAGTTTATAGTGACCTAAATGAGATTAGATCACCATGAGACCAAGTCCTACCACAGAAATTGGTCCTTCAATGACTTCATCTTTTCTTCTTAATTTTAATGACAAATTTAAAACACACATAAAAGATAAGGGAGAAAAGTAGAAGGAACCCTCAGTGCTGTCACCCAGCTTTGACACTGATCATTTCATCTATCTTGTTTCCTCTGGACTTCTTTAAAAAAAATCTGCAGTATTTTCTCTTTTAACATTTCATTTTACAGCATTTTAAAAAATTGATAAATAAAATTGCATACAGTTAGTATGTACAGCATAAAACATATTTGAAATATGTGAAATAACGTGAAGTAATACACATGTTAATTAGCTCAAGTTAATCTTTGGAAAGGTTTCCACCATGCGGAAAGGTTAACTTGAGCTAATTAACATGTGTATTGCCTCACATAGTTATTTTTGTGTACTGACAACACTTAAAATCTACTCTTTTAGCATTTTTCAAGAGTACAATATGTTGTTATTAACTTAGTCACCATTTTGTACAATAGATCTCTTGAAATTACTCCTCCTATCTAGCTGAAATTTTGTGATCTTTGAACACTATCTCCCCAACCCCCCTCTCCCTGGTGATCACCATTCAAATCTGCAGTATTTTAAAGTAAATCCCAGCTATCACGTTACTTCACCAATACAAAGTCCAGTACTCATCTTTACACAATAGGGATGTTTTTTATTTGTTATTTTTAAAATTATACTTGAAGTTCTGTGCAGCACGTGCAGGTATGTTACAT